TATTATTATTATTATTATTATTATTATTATTATTATTATTATTATCATTATTATTATTATTATTGTAGTCATCATCGTCATCATCATATATATTAAGCATAAATCATTATGCAAATTTACGGGTGGTTTGCCCATTGATCAGGACCGAGTTGGAAGCGAAACGGAAAATAAGGACGCGAGAACAAAGAGAAGGAGTCTCAGAGGAAATTTTCTTATAAAAGTTTGCTGTAGACATGAGAGCTTGACACTGAATACTTTGGACGTTGGTGGAGATTGCTCTCTGTGAATGACATCCTAAACATCTTCATTCATAGTACTACTACTATTACTACTACTACTACTATTGCAATCACTACTACCACCACTACTACTACTAATAGTAATGAGGATAATGATGATGATGATAATAATTATAACAAAAATAATATTGACGTCAATGATAATAATGTCGATTATAATACTAAAACTGCTAATACATAGAGAGAGAGAGAGAGAGAGAGAGAGAGAGAGAGAGAGAGAGAGAGAGGCGAGAGAGAGGAGAGAGAGAGAGAGAGAGAGAGAGAGAGAGAGAGGGAAGGAGAATGTACGCCAGTTAAAGAATTTACTCCAGTTCTATTTGTACCCGAAAACCCGGCATATGTTACGACCGTAAAAAAAAAACAGACGTTCAGAGTAAATATGTAAACCTGAGTTCAAGATTTTATGCTGGTAAATGTATCTGGATTCTTTATTGAATTTTTTATCTTTGGAACTACTGTGGTAATTCGGTACTATATGCATCGGTGCTGAAGAATTTGAAATACAGTCTTTATCGTTTTCTTTAAATCTCTCTTGCTGTCTATGTGTGCGTGCATATATATATATGTGTGTGTGTGTGTGTGTGTGTGTGTGTGTGTGTGTGTGTGTGTGTGTGTTTTGGTTTCTCTCTCTCTCTCTCTCTCTCTCTCTCTCTCTCTCTCTCTCTCTCTTCTCTCTCTCTCTCTCTCTCTCTCTCTCTCTCTCTCTCTCTCTCTCTTTCTCTCTCTCTCCGACCCAGCAGACTCACGACCTTGTTCACCCCCCAGCCACCCCTCGTTCGGAGCCACGCAAGCGTTTGCCCCACAACAACGCTAAGACGTCCGCAACCGGTGTGAGGAACGAAGCTTCTACACAAGTAACACTTAGAAGCTAAGTTAGAAACAGTAAAAGAAAAAACAAACAAAAAAAATCTTCCACCAAACCGCCAGAGATACGACACACCACCACGTGCCTGGAGTACCTGCCCCCCCCCCACCACCTACTACCCCCTCCTGCTCCACAAGCGCCACAGTTCATCATCAACAACTACGCGGAACGAGCGGAAACACACAAACAAACAAACGAGCAGCCGCAGCCCCACCAAGATGAGGAAGGTTTCGTTCAACTCTAGAAAACAACAACAACAACAAAAAAAAAACAAGGGAGGAACGCCACTCGCCAAAACCCTTGCAAGGTGACCGATCGTCCTCAGGTAGTTTAACATATACCACGAGTTGCCATCCAGAAACACACGAGGAAGATATCGAAGACTTCCTGGAAAAGGTGAAAGCTTTCAAAAACAAAAATGACACACAATGATTACTCAAGCTTCACAATCACTATAAGGGGCAAAGGTATAAACCCAGATCTTTTCTTAGAGTCCGACGTCTTTCCCAACAATGCAAAGGTATTCCTAAATAAGAACAAGTACAAAAGCTTCACCATGAAACATCAAGCATCAGCGTCCCAAACTTTCATGTTTACAGATGCGATGCAGGAGATGGAGGTGGAGTCTGCATATATGTAAGCGATACCCTTAAATCAAATAAGATCTCCTCTGCAACTGTAAAATATACAGCGGTAGAAGACATCTGGGTAACAAAGTAGTATGCATCCTTCTTTCCTCGTCGACACAATCTACAGATACCCTCATGCCACCACACAATCATTTGACTACCTAGATAATATTTACAGAGAAATAAAGAGAAAACCTCTTCATATCTTGGGTGATTTCAATGACGATCTAAATAAACCAAATACAAAGTCAAGTGGGATAATTAACAAAAATAAATTAAAACAATTTATAAAGAAGCCTACAAGGATTACAGAAAACACCTCATCCATATTAGATATGATAATAAACAGACCCGATATTATACTTCGCGCAGACGCTGTCACATGTCACATTGCTGATCAGGAGCTTATAACCATGACCGTAAATATAGAAAAATACAAAGCGAAAAACAGTCACTAAAACCTCTCGCCCCCTAACGCATTACGATCCTCAGTTACTCTGCCAACATATTATAGCAATGAATCGTCACTGTCAGAGATCTTAAGAACAGATGACGTTGACAGACAAGTTAATATTCTTACAAATGTGATAAAGAAAGGCCTCGATCCCTCTATTCCTTTTAAAACAAAAACATTTAGACGTCCTCCCGCCCCCTTGATAAATGACAACATTAAGAGGACCATAAATGATAGAAATAATACTCACAAAGCTCTCAAGATAAACAGATTTGACACCACCTTTCGCTGCTGAATACAAACATAAAAAGAGAAAATGAAAACACTGGGAGAAAACTAATTATTTCAAAAGTAAATTCAATGAATGCAAAAGAAATTCTGCCGAAACGCGAAAACTACTAAATACATTAATGCCTAGAAGAAAAAGGTATTTCCCAAAACTCCATAAAGAATGTAGAACACTTTAATAACTTCTTTGCAGAAGTCGGTAGACGCACTTTTGAACAGACAACCGCCCCCACATATCAACACAACACAAATGAAACGAACCCTACAACAATTTTTTTTCAGACCGCAACCAGTAGGAGTAGAAACAATAAAACACTTAAGAAAGACGAATTCCGTCGGAGCGGATGGCATCGCATATCCTTTCATAAACGATAATGTACCAGCAATTGCATACTATCTGACAGTCATTATTAATACATCTATGGTCACCGATGTTTATCCATCACTTGAAAACACGTTATCATAACACCTATTTTCAAATCCGGTGACAGAGATGAATTTAATAATTATCGACTGATCACAATACTACCAGTTATATGTAAATTTCCTGAGAAAATAGTTGCAAACCAATTAACATCCTTTTTGGGAGAGAATAACCTTATATCTAACACGCAATGCGGTTTTAGGAGTAAATTATCAACCGATACAGTATTATTAAAAGTCACAAATTAAATTTATAATAATATTGATAACAACCAGATCAGTTTGCTCACTCTATGTGAGTTATCATGAATTAAATGTAAACAAACTAACAAATCACGAAACTGATAATTTTTGGTTCAAAAATTACCTGTCCATGAGAGCATGAAATCCATAAAAAAAAGTATCATCAAAGCAATGATACTTTTTCGTTCGTCGTTCCACAAGGCTCCGTCCTGGACCCAATTTTATTCAATTATATTCATAAATGATCTGTCATCAGTATGAATGAAATGAAGCTCAATCTACATAAAACACAATGCATTTTCATAGGCAGCCGTCAGCCCACAGATACAGTTATAGATTTCCAAGGTTATTACATCAAACCCAGCACAACAAAAAAAAAAAACTAGGTGTACACGTACATATATACACGACATTCGAGACACACTTTGATCTCATCTACAGAAAAGTAATGGACACTGAGATATACTTGAATTATATCAAAACTAAAATACCCAAAGAAACAAGAATTGCTGTTATACACTAGCACTTAATATTATTATTTACTGTCTAAACACCTGGGGCTCCACAAACAAAACACAAATACAAAGGATACAGAAACTACAGAACTTCGCGGCAAGAGTAGCAATGGGAGTACATAAATATGACCACATCACACCACTTATAAACAAACTAAAATGGCTAAAAGTACAGCAGAAATTATGTACATATGTATGTATTCATATGTATTCTAAGCCATAAAATCATATAAAGAAATTACCTATACAAATAACAGATAACAAAACAGGTGTCCATACAAGGCAAAATAACTTCTGTATTCGATCGAATACAGAAGGCGAAGCAAGAAATATACAAATCCGAGGACTGGTCTGTAACCAATTACCAGAAAATATTAGAAATATCTCCAACCAAAAGACATTTAAAACAAAAGTGAAGGAACATCTACTGAGATATCAATGACGCCAAGCGATGCACGAAATTTCAGTCATCTGTAATATTAATGCTCTGTCTAATCTTGTTGAACAAGCACTGTATATAATATTTGTATAACATCTTATTACATAATGTAAACATCATATATGTAAATGGGATACCCACTGTAATTAATGGAATAAAGTGTTTTTAATTTGAATTTGAACTCTCTCTCACTCCTTCTGTGTATGTATGGAGGTATGAAAGTGTGAGTGTCTTAGATCTTTTCTTTCTTTCTCTCTGTGGTGCAGCGGTAGCGATCTCGTCTAGCAATATTGTTGACGCGCGTTCAAACCCCGCACCGCCAGTGGATGGCAACCCCGTCTATCCTTTGCACACAGAGGGTAATTTAGAGGCAGATGAAATAGACGCCTGTCGCACCAAGAATAACCATTGCAACATATGGAATATAACTAAATTATTTTAGTTTATCATTATTACTCTCTCTTTCTCTTTCTCTCTCTCTCTATCTTATCTTCTTTCCTTTCTATACCTATAACTAAATCTTACCAAACATCCATCTTGAAACAGACAATAATAAGAGAAATGATCAACAACACAAGATAAACAAAAAGACAAGCTAAAACGAAAACGAAAGCAAAAGAGAGAGAGAGAGAGAGAGAGAGAGAGAGAAAAACAGAATAATTCAACAAATTCTAAAATCCTCCACCAACCCCCTTTAACCCCTCTCCCCCTCCCCCCTCTTCCCCTCCCCCCCTCAACCTCCCATCTCTGTGAAAGCCGCGATTAGACCGAATCATCACGCAGGTTATTGTTCGCATTGATTGGAAGCCCAATTAATCGACCTCAGATCTCGCGGATGGATCTGGCTAATGCGTCCCTGTGTGTCCTTGCGTGTCCCTCGGTGTCCCTGCGTGTCCCTCGGTGTCCCTGCGTGTCCCTCGGTGTCCCTGCGTGTCCCTCGGTGTCCCTGCGTGTCCCTCGGTGTCCCTGCGTGTCCCTCGGTGTCCCTGCATGTCCCTCGGTGTCCCTGCGTGTCCCTCGGTGTCCCTGCGTGTCCCTCGGTGTCCCTGCGTGTCCCTCGGTGTCCCTGCGTGTCCCTCGGTGTCCCTGCGTGTCCCTCGGTGTCCCTGCGTGTCCCTGCGTGTCCCTCGGTGTCCCTGCGTGTCCCTCGGTGTCCCTGTGTGTCCCTCGGTTTCCCTGCGTGTCCCTCGGTGTCCCTGTGTGTCCCTCGGTTTCCCTGCGTGTTCCTCGGTGTCCCTCGGTGTCCCTGCGTGTCCCTCGGTGTCCCTGCGTGTCCCTCGGTGTCCCTGCGTGTCCCTCGGTTCCCCTGGGTGTCCCGCATGTCCCTCGGCGTCCCTGGTTTTAATGAATGAAACTGATGGCCACTGATTATTAAATGTCACTAACTGCAAAGGTATCATTCAGTGCTTTGTTGCTTTTCTTTTTCTTTTCCTCTTTTTTTATTTTTATTTTATTTTTATTTCTTTTTATTTCTTTTTTATCTTTATTTTCATTTCTTTTCCCTTATCATAATCATCACTATTATTGTTATTATCGTCATCATCATCATCATCATCATCGTCATCATCATCATCATCAGCATCGTCATCATCGTCATCAGCATCATCATCATCATCACCACCATCGTCATTATCATCACCATTATTAGTGTTATCATTATCATTATCATAATTATTACTACTGACCATTAGCATTATTTTTTATCATTATTGTCATTATAATTATTATCATCATTATTATCATTATTACAATTACTATCATTTTCATTATTATTATCATTATCATTATTATTATTATTATTATTATTGTTATTATTATTTTCATTAATGTTATTATCAAAATTATCATTATTATCATCATTGTTGTTAATATAATTACTGACTACTGTTATTATATCATTGCTATTATTATCATCATCATCATCATTACCATCACCATCACCATCATCATCATCATCATCAACACTATCGTTGACATTACTATTGTTATTACTATTATTATCGTTGTTGTTATTGTTGTTGTTATCATCCTTATCATCATCTTTATCATTACAATGAAAATGATAATAATCATTATTGTTATTATTATAGCTATCATTATTGTTAATATTATTGTTATCATTATTGTTATTATTATTGTTAACATTATTGTTGGTGCTGTTATAACTATTATTATCATTATCATTTTCATTATTATTATTACTGGTATTATCATTATTATCATTATGATTGTTTCACATTTTCATCATCATTCTTTGTCATTTTTACAGTATAACGTTTTAAAAAAATACGGTCTATATTTGTTACAAAGTAAATGTGAAAAAATAGCAATACTCTATTGCAACGCGCCGGTACTAGAACCTTTTTGATTTGCATAATCCATAAAAATCCTCTTGCAAATGTGGGACAGAACGTTCCTCCTCTAATTACGAAAGGTAGGAAGAAATTATTAAATCTAAAATCTTTATCATAAGTTCATTTTTAGGAATATTAAACGAAACTAATTGCTTCTCGAGTCGCTTTGCTGTGATGAATCTCATTCGGCATTTCTTTGCAAGTCTGTTTCATTACTGATGTGAATGATAATTAATCTCATTTTCATTCAGGGTTCATGCTGAGATAAGGACCACGTGGCAAATGTTATTCCCATAAAAAGTATTCATTTTTTAGAATTATTTGTAGATTTTCTTTTGTTTGTCAGAATAAAAAAAAAGAGATATATACTATACTTCAAAGTCTTGCTCATCAAGTAAGATCAAGCTACTCAACTGATTCAAGGATTTTGCAACATCAAGTGCATGATTATATTATCAAATCTATTTTTAGAAACAACCCTGGTTTTGCTTTTTATACAATGGTCATGAAAACAGCAATTATTTCAGAAGTAATTAACCTGATGTTCTTTACCTTCACAGGATTCTAAAAATATATTTATATCTCGTTACTCCAGGCACAAATACATGATTATATGTGAGTGCATGAGTATACATGCGGATACACACCCGGCCAAATACGTGTGTATTTATAAACACTCACACTCACTCAATCACTCACACACACACACACACACAGACACAAACACACACACACACACACATACACACACATGTATATATATGTGAGTGTATATATCATATAGTATTAAAATTTGCTTACCCTTCTGTCACGACTGGCCATGGATTTGCACTCTGGAGCGTCATAACATCAGAGCTGGCACTGGAACAATCTCTCACACACCTGCTCAACCTAGCCATGTGTCGTCACTATGCAGCGGCTCTGGAGTATCCTCTCTAGTGTGTAGGCAAGGGTGATATGGAAGACAAGCTGTTTCCCATGAGGTGCACTA